GTGCTCCCACCTCTGGGCCCAGGGTTGTTCATGATGGAGGGAAGTGACAAAGCTAGAAGGAGCTGGGGTGGGCTGTATGTTGGAACTGACTTGGGGACAGAGCTTGGGGGATATAAAGGTCCCATCTCAAACCAGCCTTCTAAGTCCTCAGAACTGTGTCCAGGATCTGCATTCAGGGCCCAGAAATGGGGGAAGGAGGGCAATTTGATTAGGGGTATAAGGGCTCCAAGCTGGAACGGGTGCCACGCAGAGCTCATGGGACCAAGCTGCAGAACACAGGCTGAGTGAGCAGCAAGCCAGCTGAGAAGCTCAGCCATAAACCCTTGTCTTATACCTCAGGTGATGCTGCTTGAGCACACACCGCCGGGCAGTGCCATTCTCTCTGTCTCGGCCACTGACCGGGACTCCGGTGCCAACGGTCATGTCTCCTACTACCTGGCTTCCCCTGCTGAGGGCTTCAGCATTGACCCCAACAATGGTGTGTCCTTCTTGGTGTCTACCCCTTTTCCTTGACTGTCCTGGGCCATATTTTGACCTCATCCCTAGAATTTCTTGCCTGAACTCCTAACTCCTGGATCTCTGACCTAGGGAGGACATTTTCCCCCCTTTGTATCTTTTTTTTACATTAATTAATTAATTTATTTTTGGCCGTGCTGGGTCTTCATTGTTGCTTGCAGGCTTTTGTGTAGTGGCAGTGGGCAGGGGCTACTTTTCATTGCAGTGCATGGGCTTCTCATTGTAGTGGCTTCCTTCATTGAGGAGCATGGGCTCCAGGCACACAGGCTTCAGTAGTTGCATCATGCAGGCTCAGTAGCTGTGGCACACAGGCTTTGGTTGCCTGTGGGATCTTCTCGGACCAGGGATCGAACCCATCCGTGTCCCCTGCATTGGCAGGCGGATTCTTACCCACTGGGCCACCAGGGAAGTCCCCCTTTGTCTCTGTTTTAAGCACTGTCCTGACTGCATGTCTAGAAGCCATTTCCTGAATCCTGGAGCCCATTCCATAATCTCCCAGCATACAGGCCACTCCCTGGAGTCTGACTTCCAAGGCCTTTTCCCCGTCCCTAGAGGGTCATTCTGTTCACCCACGGTCTCTGCTGATGGCATATTTCTCTTCATTCCCTTTTCATCTCAGGGACCCTGTTCACAACAGTGGGGACAGTGGCCTTGGGCCATGAAGGGCCAGGCATGGTGGATGTGGTGCTGGAAGCCCGAGACCATGGAGTGCCGGGTCGGGCCGCCCGCGCCACAGTGCACGTGCAGCTGCAGGATCAGAACGACCACGCCCCGAGCTTCACACTGCCACACTACCGTGTGGCTGTGACTGAGGATCTGCAGCCCGGCTCCACCCTGCTCACCCTGGAGGCCACAGACGCCGACGGGAGCCGCAGCCACGCCGCGGTGGACTACAGCATTGTCAGTGGCAACCGGGGCCGAGTCTTCCAGCTGGAACCCCGGCTGGCAGAGGCTGGGGAGGGTGATGGACTAGGCCCTCGGGCCCTGGGTTGCCTGGTGTTACTTGAGCCTCTAGACTTTGAAAGCCTCACCCAGTACAACCTAACTGTAGCGGCAACTGACCGGGGGCAGCCACCTCGAAGTTCGGCTGTGCCAGTCACTGTCACCGTGCTGGACGTCAACGACAACCCACCTGTCTTCACCCGAGCGGCCTACCGTGTGGCGGTGCCTGAGGACACGCCTGTGGGAGCCGAGCTGCTGCACGTGGAGGCCTCCGACGCTGATCCAGGCCCCCATGGCCTTGTGCGCTTCACCCTCAGCTCAGGCGACCCTCTGGGGCTCTTTGAGCTGGATGAGAGCTCCGGGGACTTGCGACTGGCCCGCCCTTTGGACTGTGAGACCCAGGCTCGACATCAGCTTGTCGTGCAGGCTGCCGACCCTGCCGGGGCACACTTTGCTCTAGCACCAGTGACCATCGAGGTCCAGGACGTGAATGACCACGGCCCCACCTTCCCTCTGAGCTTGCTCAGCACCAGCCTAGCTGAGAACCAGCCTCCAGGCACTCTCGTGACCACCCTGCATGCAATCGATGGGGATGCCGGGGCTTTCGGAAGGCTCCACTACAGCCTGCTGGAGGCTGGGCCGGGGCCTGAGGGCCGCGAGGCGTTTGCGCTGAACAGCTCAACTGGGGAGTTGCGGGCACGAGTGGCCTTTGACTACGAGCACACTGGCAGCTTCCAGCTGCTGGTGGGCGCTACGGATGCTGGGAACCTGTCCGCCTCAGTCACCGTGTCGGTGCTGGTGACTGGTGAGGATGAGTATGACCCAGTGTTCCTGGCTCCAGCTTTCCACTTCCAGGTGCCAGAAGGTGCGCGGCGTGGCCACAGCCTGGGTCACGTGCAGGCCACAGACGAGGATGGAGGTGCTGACGGCCTGGTGCTGTACTCGCTGGCCGCCTCGTCCCCCTATTTTGGTATCAACCAGACTACAGGTGCCCTGTACCTGCGGGTGGACAGCCGGGCACCAGGCAGTGGAACAGGCACCTCCGGGGGTGGGGGCCGGACCCGACGTGAGGCACCGCGAGAGCTGAGGCTGGAGGTGGTGGCACGGGGGCCTCTGCCTGGTTCTCGGAGCGCCACGGTGCCTGTGACTGTGGACATCACCCACACCGCGCTGGGCCTGGCCCCTGACCTCAACCTGCTCTTGGTGGGGGCTGTGGCGGCCTCTCTGGGAGTCGTGGTGGTGCTTGCCCTGGCAGCCCTTGTCCTGGGACTGGTGCGGGCCCGGAGCCGCAAAGCTGAGGCCGCGCCTGGCCCGATGTCCCAGGCGGCACCCCTGGCCAGCGGCTCGCTGCAGAAGCTGGGCCGAGAGCCACCCAGCCCGCCGCCCTCAGAGCACCTGTATCACCAGACTCTCCCCAGCTATGGTGGGCCAGGAGCTGGAGGACCCTACCCCCGCGGTGGCTCCCTGGACCCTTCACACTCAAGCGGCCGAGGCTCAGCAGAGGCTGCGGAAGATGACGAGATCCGCATGATCAACGAGTTCCCCCGCGTGGCCAGTGTGGCCTCCTCCCTGGCTGCCCGCGGCCCTGACTCCGGCATCCAGCAGGATGCAGACGGACTGAGTGACACCTCCTGCGAGCCACCTGCCCCCGACACCTGGTATAAGGGTCGTAAGGCAGGGCTGCTGCTGCCGGGTGCAGGAGCCACCCTGTACCGGGAAGACGGCCCCCCAGCCACTGCCACCACCTTCCTGGGGGGCTGTGGCCTAAGCCCTGCCCCTACTGGGGACTATGGTTTTCCAGCAGATGGCAAGCCCTGTGTGGCGGGAGCGCTGACGGCCATTGTGGCCGGTGAGGAAGAGCTCCGTGGCAGCTACAACTGGGACTACCTGCTGAGCTGGTGCCCTCAGTTCCAGCCGCTGGCCAGTGTCTTCACAGAGATTGCCCGGCTCAAGGATGAAGCTCGGCCGTGTCCCCCGGCACCCCGTATTGACCCACCGCCCCTCATCACTGCCGTGGCCCACCCGGGAGCCAAGTCTGTGCCCCCCAAGCCAGCCAGCACGGCCGCAACCCGGGCCGTCTTCCCACCAGCCTCTCACCGCTCCCCCATCAGCCATGAAGGTTCCCTGTCCTCGGCGGCCATGTCCCCCAGCTTCTCACCTTCACTGTCTCCTCTGGCCGCTCGCTCACCCGTCGTCTCACCATTCGGGGTGACCCAGGGCCCCTCAGCCTCAGCTCTGAGCGCAGAGTCTGGCCTGGAGCCACCAGACGACACCGAGCTCCATATCTAGGTGTGGCCCGGACCGGGCCCCGACCTGGGATGCGCACAGTGTCCCCAATGCAGGCCCCATCTGAGCCTGCCCGGGCAGCCTCGGACCATGATTGGCCATTGGGGAGGCCAGCTCCCCACCCCAGAGTCCTCCAGCAGGGGCAGGTCTCACGTCTTGCCCCGGCCCTGGCAGAGCCCCAGTACCGTGAGGCCCGGTTGGGCACTGACCTGTGGCCAGGTCTGACGCAGGGAGAGAGATGAGGAAGGAGGCAGCAGCCCCGGGGTTCCCCTCAGTGAGGGCTTCTTGCCCTGTGCCAGCACCCTGAGATGGAGCTGAGACTTTATTTATTGGGGGGTAGGGGAGTGGGGGCAGCCCCTGCAACTTTGTTCGGGCCCAGCTCCTTTGGGTTCCACTGACACCCCTGCCCCTGCCCAGAATCAAGTGCCAATTCTCACTCTGGAGCCTTAATAAACTGCAGTTTGTATCCAGTGTCCGGATCTGTTCTCTGGGCCCTTAGGGACGGGGCAGTGATGGAAAGGCTCCTGACACCTTGTAGACACCTCAGGAGGCACAGAGTGGGATGGACAGAGGGGTGTCTAGGGTGGGGTGAGTGAGGAAGGCACTGGGAACCCAAGCCTAGCCTGAGGCTGTCACATCCCTCTGCAGTCGACCTTTCCCTCTAACAGGGGCAGGAGGCCAGACGAAGGCAGACAGCAGGAGCTTGCTTGTGGCAGCAATCTAGAGAGGAATTGGCTGGCTGGGGAGACCTTGGAGATGACCAGCTCTAAGCTTGAGGGTCTTCAAAGAGGTGGGGGTGGATACAAGAGCAGCCAAGTGGTTTATTTGTTTTTCGTGGGGTCATTATATAGACTATAATATATTCATATGTAATAACAGCTCACATTTGTTGAGCTTCTGCCACGTGAGGCTCTCTGAGGGGTTTGCTTGCTTTATCTCTGTAAATTTTCAGTGCAATCCGCTGAGGCAGAGCACTTTTAACCTAACAGTCTCCATATTCTACACGAAGAAAACAAGGCTCCAAAAAGCTGTGACTTTCCTAATATCATACTTCTTGTAAGGACCTGGATCTCTGGGCCTATGGGCCTCCAGAGCCCCTTTTTTAAGCGCCGCCTATACTGTGGGTGAGTCCTGGGCTCACCCCGTGTTTGACAGTCCACAGAGGGAGCGTCTGAGTGGCCGCCCCACCCCTTCTCCCGCATTCAGGACCACCCATTGGAGGGCGGAGCCATGACGTCACTAGTTCCTAGGCAGAAGAGGACTACGGAGTTCATGTGATCTGTCACATGACAGTGGGCGAGCCGAAAGGCAGAATGGGACCCCGATCCTGGTGAGAAACTGGGGGGCTCCGGGAGAAGGGAATCACGTTGGGGGGAGTTTATGTTGGAGGGTGGAGCAACAGTCCAGCTCCTGCTGAAACCCATGTGCTGTCCCTGCAGCCTCCTAGGGCTCTTTGCCCTCTTCGTCGCTGGCAAATGCAGTTACAGCCCGGAGCCTGACCAGCAGAGGAGGTGAGCTGACTTAGCGCTGACCGCCCCTTCCCCATGGCTTGTCCTGCACCTGTTATCCTGGTTCCAGCCTCCCTTACCGGCTTACCAGCTCCTGATACCCCTCTCCGTAGTCCCAGGCGTAGTCTGATCATCCACCTCCTGTGATTCAAATCTGCTTCCAGAATCTTCCCCCAAATCTAGGTCTAATGCTGAACCTTCCCGTCCCCACTCTAATAATGAGGGCTAAAATAATAATAATAATAATAATAATAATGAAGAATGTGTGACCCCTGACCCTGCAGGCTGCCCCCTGGCTGGGTGTCCCTGGGCCGTGCGGACCCTGAGGAAGAGCTGAGTCTTACGTTTGCCCTGAGACAGCAGAACCTGAAGAGACTGTCCGAGCTGGTGCAGGCTGTGTCGGATCCTGGCTCTCCTCGCTACGGTGCCTGACGGGACCGCGGGGCAGGATGTGGGATGTGGTGGAGGGACACGGGGTTGGGCTGAGCATGGGACGGTGCAGGTCATGTCAAGGGCATGCTCTTGGGGCCTGCGGAGGGGGTGGTATAGGACAGATGAATGGCAGTGGCCCTCACTGAAGAGTTTCTGGATAGAAAAGTGAATGGGAAGTAGACTGTCCAAAACTAACTCACATTCTTCCCTCCAAAACTTTCCACCTGTGTTCATCAGGCTAAAAAACTGAAAGTGGGTATGGTTAAGAGCACAGGCTTGGTGATCAAACCTGAATTTAAATTATGACTCTACTGCTTACCCGTTGCCAGACAAATGGGGACGTAGCATCCAGTACATGTAAGTTTAGCTCACTACCTCAGATTTCACCTCCAACCCCTGCTAAATTCACTCTCATTTACTCCTCCACTCAAACACTAAAGCTGTCAGTTCCAGCTCTGAAACAGTCCACTGTCTCATTGTTCCTTGTTGCCACCAACTCAGCTGACTGTACTCTCTCACCTGGACTGCTGCCCATCCCCCTCGCTGGACTGCCGTCTTCCCCTCCAATCCATTCCAAGAGTCGGTGTTGTGCTCCAATGGTCAAGCTGGACCGTGTGCTTTCTCCAAGGAAGCCCTTTGGGGTGGGGAAGGAGTGGGAGTGGTGAGCGTGTGAGGGGGCAATCTAAGGTTCACCCAGGAGGTGTGTGCATGATCCATGCAGAACAATGACTCACCATCATGTTTAGCTTAAAATCAGTAAGTATGAAGATGTAAGCTAAATTAGATATCATCTTATAACTGGTCCTGAAAGTTTTGAAAACTTTTATTGGAAATAAACTTAAAATGAACATTTTTTTTTTAAATTCCACTGGCAGTTCAGTGGTTAGGACTCAGTGCTGTTACTGCTGTGGCCTGGATTCTATCACTGGTTGGGTAACTAAGATTCCACAAGTGGTGTGGCACACCCCCCGACCCCCAAAAGAACATTTTAAATCTATTAATCTCATTTGTTTTTCATGATCATGCAGTATTTGCAACCTACTCTCCTTTAGGATAAATCCATATTCCCCCAAGTTGAGCCTACACCTGTATGGCCTGCCTTTTTACTAGAAGCTTCCCACGTATCCCTCAAGCCCCTGCTCCAATTTCCCTAGGAAGTCCCAGTGTCTCCTGGTTGAAGTCCAAAAAGAGCAATTTGGAAAAGCAATGAACAAAGGCAATTCTACTGAACCCCTGCAGGCAAGTACCTGACCCTAGAGGATGTGGCTGAACTGGTCCGGCCATCACCATTGACTCTCCACACGGTCCAGAAATGGCTTTTGGCGGCTGGAGCCCGGAACTGCCACTCAGTGACTACACAGGACTTTCTGACTTGCTGGCTGAGTGTCCGGTGAGAGGGGATAATTGCCTCATAGAGGGTATTGATCACCCCATAAGGGAGATTTGTCTCCCTATCAGGGGGAGGGAACCGAGAGTTGGCAGGTGCTGTGGGTGAAAATGCATGGGGAGATAACAACTAACTACCCGGTGATGCTTAGGCAGCCTCTTCTGCTCTGCTCCATGCTTTCTGACCTGTGTTTTCTGAACTGATCTCCAGACAGGCAGAGCTGCTGCTCTCTGGGGCTGAGTTTTATCACTATATGGGAGGACCTGCAGAGACCCATGCTGTGAGGTCCCCACATCCCTACCGGCTCCCAAAGGCCTTGGCCCCGCATGTGGACTTTGGTAACACCCAGTGGGGCTGGTGGAGGTTGGAGAGGCAGAACCAGGGATGGGAGAAATTTAGGTGCCACAGGGGGTGCGAGCGGGGGTGGGATCACAGTGGTAAAACGAGGGTTGGAGTCCAAAAGGTCTCTTCCTCAAGCCTGACTCCTCCCCACAGTGGGGGGGCTGCATCGGTTTCCCCCTACATCAACCCTGAGGCAACGCCCTGAGCCACAGGTGCTGGGGACTGTTGGCCTGCATCTGGGAGTGACCCCATCAGTGATCCGTAAGCGTTACAACTTGACGGCACAAGATGTGGGCTCTGGCACAACCAACAACAGTCAAGCCTGCGCTCAGGTGAGCCATGCAAGGAGCCTCAGCATCCTCACAGCCTCCTCAAGGTGCCTGAACAGCCTGGGGCTGACTCTGCTGGGCTCTCATCCTGTGATCTGGGACAGCATCCCCTGACCTGACTCTATGTCTTCTGACCCATGAATCTCCTCTGACTCCCTCTGTAGTTCCTGGAGCAGTATTTCCATGATTCAGACCTTGCTGAGTTCATGCACCTCTTCGGTGGGGACTTTGCACACCAGGCATCGGTAGCCCGTGTGGTTGGACAACAGGGCCGGGGCCGGGCCGGGATTGAGGCCAGCCTAGATGTGGAGTACCTCATGAGTGCTGGCGCCAACATCTCTACCTGGGTCTACAGTAGCCCTGGTACTGCCTAGGGGACTGACTGGTGGGGACAGAACTGGGGGGAGTAGTGATCTTTCCTCCCTCAAGGGAATTCCATGAGCTAGAGGGAGATCCTGACAACTTCCCAAATGATTGCCCTTGTGCCCCCTTTTCCAAAAAACATCCAGGCCGGCATGAGTCACAGGAGCCTTTCCTGCAGTGGCTTCTGCTGCTCAGTAATGAGTCAGCTCTGCCATATGTGCACACCGTGAGCTACGGCGATGACGAGGACTCCCTCAGCAGCACCTATATCCAGCGGGTCAACACTGAGCTCATGAAGGCGGCTGCTCGGGGTCTGACCCTGCTTTTTGCCTCAGGTGACCTCCTACTCTAAACTTAGACCCCACCACCACCCACGCCCACTCAAGATGAGAACTTTGACCCCACAGTAACTCCCGGACCTGATCTCTAACTCGTAATCTGAACTGAACATGGACCACTGACCTGACCTCAACTCTGACCTCTTGCAGTAATAACTAACACTTGAATTTCCTCTCTGACATTTGAACCCACATTCCAAGCTCTGACCAATGAAACTGAATGCTAAACCTGGTCTCTCTCCCAGGTGACAGTGGGGCCGGGTGTTGGTCTGTCTCTGGCAGACACCAGTTCCGTCCCAGCTTCCCTGCCTCCAGGTAAGCACCCAAGCCCACCACTTACTTGTGACCTCATGGTCTAGAACCTTTGCCTTAACCCCACCAGGTGCTCTTGTGGGTCAGCACTCAGTTGTACCTGCTCTGATCTTGATCATGCAGTATTTTCAGTCTCTGCTCTTGTTCCTCCACCCCCTCTTTTTCCCGAAGGTGCCAGGCCCTGAATCTCCTGAGTAGGACACAGCTCCCAGTGTTCTGCTTCCTCGGTCCCCAGGCATTTTAGTGGGAGATTTGGTGGATGTTTTGTAGGGAGAAGTGTGCACAGTCACCTCAGACCATGCCTTGAGGGCCACAAACCTCTCAGTCTTCCTCATGTACATACTTCACCAGAGTGCTTTCCCAGTCCCTCCAGCAAGACCCAGGCCACACTCACCCAGCCCTATGCATTTTGGAGGTTTCTTAGGACTGCTACATTTTGAGTGCTGTCTTCTGCCCTCAGTCCCTATGTCACCACGGTGGGAGGCACATCCTTCGAGAACCCTTTCCGAGTCACAAATGAGGTCGTTGACTACATCAGTGGTGGCGGCTTCAGCAACGTGTTCCCACGGCCTTCGTACCAGGTACCTGTGTGTTTGTGTTGGTGGAGGAGAGAAGGGTGGAATCCTCAGTTCAGCAGATGGTACTTACTCAACAGTGTCTTTCAGGAGGAAGCTGTAACCCGGTACCTGAGCTCCGGTCCCCACTTGCCACCATCCAGTTACTTCAATGCCAGTGGCCGCGCCTACCCAGACGTAGCTGCACTCTCTGATGGCTACTGGGTGGTCAGCAACCACGTGCCCATTCCATGGGTGTCTGGTACTTCGGTGAGAATCAGTCTGGCTCCAAACCTCTACCCAGGGAATACCCCTACCTTCCAACCCCAAGAACCCAGAACCCTTGCACCCAGAACCCCCGACTCCTCAGAGACCTCCTACCCATCCCTCCCAAAAAGTCCAACCACTCTGAATCCCTAACCTCTACTTGCACCCTTACCCTTGCAGGCCTCTACGCCAGTGTTTGGGGGACTCCTATCCCTGATAAATGAACACAGAATCCTCAGAGGCCTACCCCCTCTCGGTTTTCTCAACCCAAGGCTCTACCAGCAGCGTGGGGCAGGACTCTTTGATGTGAGTCTGGAAGGGAGGGTTGTGGCCATTTTCATATGAAGTAACAACATTCATACTCATAAGAGTATGTTGAGTGCTAAGATGAACTTGAGGGCAATTCTGTGGGATAGCCTCTGGAATGTGAATACAGGGTAAGGGGCTATAGTCTGTTAATATCAGCAGGTCCAGATCTGATGCCCACCCTCTTCCTAGGTAACCCGTGGCTGCCACGAGTCCTGTCTGGATGAAGAGGTGGAGGGTCAAGGTTTCTGCTCTGGCCCTGGCTGGGATCCTGTGACAGGCTGGGGAACACCCAACTTCCCAGCTCTGCTGAAGACACTAATGAACCCTTGACCCTCTCCTGCTAGAAGGGTGGGCCTGTCCTCTGCCCCACAGCAGGTGGCTTGGTCCCTTATTCTGCAGTGTTGGAAGCCCTGCTGAACCCTCAACCATTGACTGCCACAGACAGCTTATCTCCCTAACCCAGAAATGCTGTGAGCTTGACTTGACTCCCAACCCTACCTGTTCCATCATACTCAGGTCCCCCTGCCCCAGGTTCCTCAACAGGTGCCACAACCAGCACTATTTGGGAGCATCCCCTGCATACAACCTCTCCCACCCCCAGCCCCCGGGGCTCCCTGCTCCATTTGTTTTCTTTTCAACCAGGCTTTTCCAACATGTTTTCTACCCTGTCTGTGTACACTATTTCACTGCATCCTCACCCCTCAATTCATTGTCCTGAGACCTCTACTGTTATTGTTTCACTCTTTCCTTCCCTGAGAAATACTCCCAACCTTTGTTTTGTGAGCTCTCTGTCATAGAAGCCTACTGCCTCTTCCTTCTTCGCTTCCAGGGCTTAACTTCTTCTCTGACCACTCCCTCTTCTTCCTTCATTCCCTTTTCCCTCTTTCTCTTTCTCTGCTTCCTCATTAAACGTTGTTGTATTTTGTTGCTCTTGGTTTTTAACCAAAATTTTATAACTCTTGGTTTTTATTTTATCAAAGTATATGGGCACATTGTCAAATAGTTCTTTAAGTCTTATTGCAAAAAAAAAAAAAAAAATAGCCATCCCTTGTGTATCTACCACCATTTCCTGCTACTTGAAGCAATCATTTCAGCTGTTTCTGTTGATTCTTTGGTGCGTGCTAAGTCACTTCAGTTGTGTCCAACTCTTTGTGACCCCATGGACTGTAGCCTGCCAGGCTCCTTTGTCTAGAGTTCTCCAGGCAAGAATACTGGAGTGGGTTGCCAGGCCCTCCTCCAGGGGATCTCCCTGACCCAGGGATCGAACCTGCATCTCTTAAATCTGCATTGGCAGGCATGTTTTCCATCACTAGTGCCACCTAGGAAGCCCTGATTCTTTGGTATCTACTGGTTTATCTCTAAATAACATGCTTATATTGCTGTTTATTGATCCCCCCCTCCCCAGTTTTAGCCATTATTGACTTCCTATTAGCTTATGATCATTCTTCTGTGTTGTCCCAATCACTCAAAATCCCCACCACCCATTCTTTCATCCTTCCAATACAATTCTATTTTTGTTTGAGCTGCATACAGGATTTGCACTGGTACAACTGTGTAAATGCTAATCACACCTAATCCATGTAGTATCATTGCTCTATCCTTTGTTTTTTGCTCTTCTCACTTGACTCATTGTCTGCTGGAACAAATCAATAACTGGCGTCCACAGCCATCACTATCTCACTAAATCAGACTTTCCATCCTACAGTGATTGATACCTCAAAAGCAAGATGTGTAATTCTCAATATTTCATCTCCCTTCTTCCCAATCCCAAACTGTTCTTTTTTGTTTCTTATTTATAAATGACACTATGCTTGACACTTCCAACTGAGCCAGAAGCCTAAAGTGTCATCCAGGCTTCCCATTTCCTTCACCTCCTCCCATCATCACCTTGTCAACAAGTCCTGTTGACTCTTATCTCTTAAATACATCTGTAACAAACCAAAAGTTCTTCCAATTATATTTCCGAAGTGTATCTTGAATTCATCTACTTCTCTCCAGCTCCACTGCTACCGTATTAGCTGTGAGCCATATTCCCTCTCCTTTGAATTGAGGCCCTTGCAAGAAGTGTCCTTACATCCTGCCTTTCCCTAAACCATCTACCACTTGTTTATTCGCTAAGTTGTGTCTGACTCTTTTGTGACCCCATGGACTATAGCCCACCAGGCTCCTCTGTCCATGGGACTTCCCAGGCAAGAATACAGAGTGGATTGCCACTTCCTTCTCCAGGGTTCTTCCTGACCCAGGGATGGAACATGGGTATCTTGCATTGGCAGATGGGTTCTTTACCACTGAGCCACAAGGGAAGCCCCCAAACCAACTACCAGAGTAAGATGCAAATCTCATGAGGTCACCTACTTGATTACCCTTCAAAGATTACTGGATATAGGTCAGGCTTTTTATCATGATTTACAAACCTGTCTCCTTACTTGCTCTTTGTTTCTGATTAACAAATTGTTTATCCTTCCCTGTCTCCTCACCCCCCCCCCCCCATGGACTTTCATTCACTGTTGCTCAAGATATTCTTTGCCCTAACATTACCCCTGGCTCCTTGTGCCTGGTTGAGGTCCAGAATTCTTTCAAGACTCAGCTCACCTCCTCTTGTGAATCTTTTGGCTCCCTGAAGCTAGTTGATGTGGGTATGACAGAAAAATCCTAGATTCTTGGTTCTGATACAGACCAAGAGAGAGCCTGGGGCAAGTAAGTTCAACTCTCTGAGACTTTTTCCTCATGTGTTAAGTGAGGATATTGATACCTGCCTCTAATATTTAGGAAATCATTAAGTGGAAGAAAATTAATGGAATGCCTAACACACTGATGTAGGCAGCAACTATTAGTTCCCTTCCTCCCTTGCACTGCACACCCTGTGTCTACCTCCATTATTTTAACTCCCATATATTGGTGAAATGGCCAGTTTAACTGCCTCCCTTTCCAAGACCACTGGTGCCTGGAGGACTAGAACCTTGTCCTACTTTGTATTTGCAGACCCTAGCTCAGGACTGACTGACAAATAAAAATTAAATACATTTTTGCTGCGTTGAAAACCCTACTCTTTGACTAGCTGTGATTTTACATAAGTTGTTTATTAAGACTGAAAGACAGCCATTCCTCGTATCCTCGGGTTCTGCAGCCACAGATTTACCCAACCATGAACTGAAGATATATTTTTTTAAATTCCAATTATAAAAAACGAAACTTGACTTTACCATGCACCAGCAAACTATTTACATCTCATTGGATATTATAACTAATCTAGGGATGATTTAGAGTATACAGTGCAAATACTATGCCATTTCATATAACGGACTTGAGCATCCACGGATTTTGGCATACATGGGTTGCGGACGGGAGTGGGGGGAGTCCTGGAACCAATCCTTCCAACACCTCACCACCTATACGGATGGTGGACTGTACCTCTCTTCCCCATCTGCAGCAGCACTGTGTCAGCTTTCCGGTTACCTTCACTTTGGGCAGCTGGCGGGGAAAGAGGCTATCCAACTCCACTACAAACCCTTAAAAGGCTGGATAAAGGAACTAGAAAAGATGCAAACTGGCAGGCGACCAACAGTCGAGAGGTGTCGGGGCGATAAGCCTCAAAGCAAGGATTTTCGGCGTCAGGCTGGGTGAGGGGCCCAAATCCACAGACACTGAACCCTCGACATCGAAGTGTTCCCACCCCAGCGGATGCACACTGGAGAACCGCGGTTCCGGACGCGAAATGTCCGCTCTAGCGCAGTTCCGCAACACTTGGTCTCCGCCCTCCGGGCTTTGTCCTGTAGCCGCTGGATGGGCGGGGAATAAAGGAAGGAGGCCTAAGGGAGGAGCAAACGTGGCGTGGGAGGGACGAGTCGGGGGCGCGTGACGTCACCCCTAGTGTGTGCGTAACGTGAACGGAAGCGGAAGCGGCTCTGTTCGCCGCCTCTCCCACCGGCCCGATGAGCTGCAGCGGCTCCGGCGCGGACCCCGAGGCGGCGCCGGCCTCCGCCAAGCCCCGCGGGGACAGCAGGGGGGCCTGGGGCTGGAGCCGCAGCAGGGGGCACTGGAGCCGTGGCGGCGCGGGCCGGGGAGCCTGCCGAGCGGCGCGGGGCTGGTGAGGGCCGGGACGGGTGAGGGCGAGGGCCGCGCTTTGGGCAGGGCCCAGCGGCGGGTGAGGGCAGAGGGTAAGGCAGACCTAGCGGGGCCCTCGAGCCTCCCACCTCCGTGTCTCAGTTTGCTGGTTTTCCTTCAGCTCCGGTGACGACTGGCGGCGCGGCGCCCCCGGAGGGGGCCATGTCTAACGGGGTTTACGTGCTGCCAAGCGCGGCCAACGGAGAGGTGAAGCCGGTAGTGTCCAGCACGCCTCTAGTGGACTTCCTGATGCAGCTGGAGGATTACACGCCTACGGTGGGCTTCCCGCCTGAACAAGGCTCCTGACTCGCTGTCATGCCAACTTCTGCCACACCACCTGGATTTGCAGCGTCCTCTTGTGTTTATTTCCCTTCCTAGCTTTTGTGATTTTTCCCTTCTGCCCACCCAAACTGGGAGCTTCGTGGTAGCCAGGCCTGCCCTCCGTTTCCCTTACCCCCACTCTCAGCCCCGCAGTACACAGGGCTAACGCTTAGTCGTCTAATTGATTTCTCAGATCCCTGATGCAGTGACTGGTTACTACCTGAACCGTGCTGGCTTTGAGGCCTCCGACCCACGCATGTGAGTAAACTCAGGGCAGGCTAGAATGTTGGGTGCTTGTGTGGAGTTTGTTGTCTATGCCTTTCTCATACCATTTTTTTTCTCTCTAGAATTCGGCTCATCTCCCTAGCTGCCCAGAAATTCATCTCAGATATTGCCAACGATGCCCTACAGCACTGCAAAATGAAGGGCACAGCCTCTGGCAGCTCCCGAAGCAAGAGCAAGGTGTGAGGGGAGGCGCATTGATTCAGTAATTACCTCCTACAGCAGCAGAGGCTTAAATTATCCTGAAACCCCTTTGAGGGAAATTAAGCTTTAGGGGAGGTGAAAGACCTACTCAGGGTCACCCGCCTGGGATTGAAATCTGGAATTCCTGTGTTCAGCTGGTGCTCTTCCCTCTTCCCTCAGGACCGCAAGTACACTCTAACCATGGAGGACTTGACCCCTGCCCTCAGCGAGTATGGCATCAATGTGAAGAAGCCGCACTACTTCACCTGAGCCACCCAATCTAAATGTACTTGTCTGTTCTCTTGTCCCCACACCAGCCTGTTTTCATAATAAACTTTATTGTGACAGGCAGGGCTGATCCCTCCCATGCTGGGAGACACCGTGTGGCAAGTGACAAAGCTTTGAGCCCATTCCCTTTTGGGGCCACAGTGGTAGGGATGGGGGCAGGGGATGGGCCCCATGGCTGGGGTAGTACCATGACTAGTGGCAGGGGAGGCAACCAGAGGCCTGCTGCTTTGGGGAGGTGCACTCCCCTAACCGTGTCCTGACACCTCTGGAGTTCAGACAAGGACTTTCCAGCTCTACTTGTCCTGCATCTTCTCCAGGATAGGCACAATCATGTCAAACTTGGGCCGCTTAGCAGGGTCTTCATTCATGCAGATCTTCATGAGTTTACATACGTGGGGGGAAATGCCTGGTGGGATGGTAGGCCGAAGGCCTTCCAATGCCACCTGCAAACACAAGGAAAAACAAGGTGAGTCTCAGAACTTGAGTCTCATGTGAGGAGAGATGTCTAGCCCTCAGGACAGGATTCTGTATATTTGAATCAATGTGGCAGGAGTCCAGCCCCACTACAATTATTGTCACTACCACCACAATTCCCCCAACACAAGTATATCCAGTTATGCTCTCACCTTCATTCCAATTTCCATGTTGGAGAGGTCAGCAAAGGGTACCTCCCGTGTCACCAGTTCCCACAGAAGCACTGCAAAACTCCACATATCTGCTGAGCGTCTGTTTGTGTCTTCAGGCTTCTTTTGCAGAGCTGGAGGGACAGGACTTATCTGTTCCAGCTGCTTGTCCTGTCTCTGTTCCCTTCCATTACTACTGAGCTGCCCCTTCTCTGCCTCACATCATAATGCCATCACTCACCTTCAGGAGCCACCCAGGCAGGTGCATACATGCGCCCGGGGCACTGGAAGGAGAACTTGACGTCGGCCATACTGATTCGAGCAGTCATGTCCTCATCAATCTGAGGAAGAGAAGATAGTTGTGTGGAAGAAGGTAAGTCCTATTCTAGGGAAAGGACCTCTGGGGTGTGGGCCGGGAGTGAAGTTGTAATCTCACCATTACACTACGGCTGTTGAGTGCATGTCGTGGGATGAGGGGCTCTAGTGTGTGTAGGAAGGCCATGCCCCTTGCCATGTCCAATGCAAACTTCACAGCCTGACTCTGGTCCACAACGAAATCTAAGTGAGAAGGCAAAAGTTAAATCATTTGGAGAGGCTCACAGACTTTCCTTCCCCACAGCCTGCTACAGTGAGATTTGGCACCCCCTACTCACTGGTGCCTTCATGTAGCACATTGTACAGGGATCCGTATGGCATCCAGTGTGTGATGAGGGTGGGGTGAGGAGCAGGTGGAGACTGACAGGCACCGAGCACTGGGAGCACGTTGGGATGTGAGAAAATCCTGGAAGAGGGAGAGAATGTCCCTGGCTGAGATCCAGCATAAAAGATCTCCCTCTGGGTGCTGGACAGGGTTCCTTGAAATCAAGGCTTCCAGTTTAGGCCTTGCCCCACCTGAGCCGGGGACACTCCTCATTGAAGTCCCTGCTCTTCCTTGTACTCCAGTCTCGAACCTTCAGCATCTTCACGACAATGTCATTGCCCTGCCAGCGGCCCTTCCATAGCTGAGGGACAGATAAGGGTTAGAAGGCTTTAACTAAGGCCACTGTTAACTTGCCCACTAACTGGAGGAGAAACTTAAAACAGGTGCACAACAGGTAATATGGTGGGGTTGGGTGGGGTGGGGAGTTACCTCTCCAGAGTGATTCTCGTTGAGCTTCGCCAGGAAGTTGAGCTGTTTGAAGTCAATGCCGGAGTGTTTGTTCAGAGTCCCATTTCCTGAGAGTGTGGGCAGGTCAGGTACCCAGCTTCCCTCTTTCCCAGCCCCAGGAGTCCAGGACTATTCTCTCACCACCCCTCCCCTCACAGCTGACTCACGGGGCCGAGTGCGGGTAGTCCCCTTCCAGAATGTGTCCTTGTATGGAATACGGTTCAGATTCTGGCCCATCTTCTCTGCCCGCTCTGGGGAAGAAAGACAAAGTCTTGACCTCAGCTGTTGTGTGGAAAGAGATAGGCGAGGACAAGACTACACAAGCGGTGGGTGGGGACAGACCTCGGAGCAGCTCTCTCAGGGGTGCCTTGGCTTTGTCCACAGGCATCTCTCCATACTTGTTACAGATGCTGACAAGGGCCCCATTCGCCACAAGGTCCTGGAATTAAGAGATGGCTATGATGAGGGCATTCCCAACTAACCATGAATGCAGATGCAGTACAAACCTTGTGAATGTTGTACCCAGGACAGTACTCAGGATGGGTTGAGGGTTCCAGAGTCTCCCACTCAAGCTCAGACTTCCCACCCATCCCAGAGCTCGGCCTGAGTACTCACCTCTGCCACCTGATCTTGGCCCCAGAAACAGGCATAGTGTAGGGGCACATTCCCATGCTCATTCACCGCATTGATGTCAGCTTTGTACTGCAGCAGCTGGTCCCCATGGCCAAACAAAGAGGTAGAAGGTACAGTCAGTCCCAAATGAGAGAAGTGTACTGAGGCATGCAAGGAGGGAGATGAGTACACATACTTTGTACGTTATGTTATAGTGCCTGTGTCTTACTTCCAGGCATGTGCGTCAAGGGGTTTATACATACCTTCTGTACAATATCACGGTGCCCATGACTGGCTGCTAGGTGCAGAGGGGTATCATCCCCACGGTTCATCACATTGATTCGTGCCCCCCGCATGATCAGCATTTCGACCACAGCAGATCGGCCTTCTCGGCAGGCCCAGTGCAAGGGGGAGAAGCCATGATCGTCCCTTTGAGGAAGGCGCAAGGGTCATTGATTTGGAAGTGGGATGTGGGCAAAGGCTTTGACACAGAAAAACTTAAAATATTCACTCTGCATACTCTCCCTGGGAAGCCTTACCTCTAGAACTTTGATTCTCATTCATGCCAGCAATTCCCAAAGCTGTCCAGTCCAGACCTTCCCCTGAGTTTCTAACCCAGCCAACCACTACCTGAAATCCCAACAAATCCATATGATTCACTGTCTTCATCTCCCTCTAGCCTTTCTTCCCTAGAAAGCTCTATCATTAAATGGTACTTCATCTGGTCTCTGCACCCCTTTGGCAACATCCATTGGTTCTTTCTGTTTACACCACATCTTGTACACTGCCTTACTACATACAGTACTTGTCACACTGGATTGTAAAAATCTGTTAAATGGGCTGTCTTGTCTATTAGACTAAGCTTCTTGAAAATTGACAGCAGCTGTTCAGTGCATGTTAATAGGAAGGAAGGGAAGCTTTGAGAAGAAAAGCCACAGTTTATGGAAGAGGAAGCAAGCTTACTGAATGGCTTTGGTTCTGATACTGAAATTAAAATCTAAAAAGGGAATGGAATTAAAATGATGGTTTGGAGGGGTTTATAATGAAAAGGAGAAATGCTTTGGGTAAGTCATTCATGAGGCAGATACTGCCACATAAGACAGGATTCTTCTACTCAAGCAAACCTAGATACAGAAAACAAGAAAATAAGAATGACTTAATTAGAAAGAAAGCTGTACCCAACTTTTTTCTTTTCCCAAGAACTCTATTTTATAGTTAAAGAAATGTACAAACAACAACAAAAAGACCACAATTGGGTGGAAGCTAGGCCTGCCTGACAGCCCGGGGCCATAAAAGGAAATTCCCTCCAGTCCTGGGCCGCAGATCCAAGGGGCGGAGCAAGGGGGCGGTCCGTGGTCTGGGCCGTCAGCCTCCGGATGCCTTAGTGCTGCGGTCACTTCCCGTGTGGGGGCTCTAGGCGGGGCCTGAAGCCGATCAGGGGTATGATCACCCCAGACCATCCAGATGTCCCCAAAGCCAAAGTGGGTGGTGGGTGTGACCTTTAACTTACTGATTTCCCTCTACAATTGCCCTCATGTGTTCACAAAGATAGCCAAAAGCTTTCCTGGGAGATAGTCCCCTCCCTCTTCCTAAAGCAATCACCACCCCTTACTTATCAGTCAGTTTTGCATCCCAGCTCTTTAATTTGTGCCCCAGTTTATCAGTCTCTGGCAGTCTATGGCCCCAGAGAAGGCCAGAGCCTGAGAGCAAAAGTATGGGCACAAGGGTTCTGTCCACTGCCAGGCTCCCATCACCTCAGAGCCTGAACTTTAATCCCAAAGAGACCAGCAGGAAATTGACCCTTACTTCATATCCAGCATATAGCCAATTGGGGCCCCGAAGCCTATCCACTCATACCTGCACCACTTTCACTAATACCACTCATAATACCACTTTCACTAATACACCTTTTGGCAGCAGTCTTCCTAGATGCCAGCTTCATTGGAAAAAGTTACCTACCCTTTATGATGCCACCAACAAAATAGTAGCTGTGCTCTCTTTATCAGAGCACTGTTTGAAGAATTATATAAAAAATGGAACAAGTGTGAATTATAGAGAAATAGCATTGAGTCTAATGGGGACCCATAAAGCCTGGATGAAAGTTACAGGTGGTCCTTAACTCTCAAACCTAAAATCTATTTTCTCCTCACCTTAAAAAAAGTTCCACCATCCTGAATCAGCATCACTACTGCTTTTCTTGCTTTCTTGTCTCAGTCAACCTTAAAGAGCTTGTCTACGTTCCCTTTCTCTACCTCCCATTCAACCTGCCCAGGAGACCACTGCCTTGAGGGCAAACATTATGTCTGATTCTGGACTTCTAGCACCCAATACATGTTCAGTATAGCTCTTTAAATGAAAGAACCAAGTATAGTCTGGTTTTTTCACTTGTTTTCCTCTGAAACAGCTCTCACAGAGATCATTAAATATATAATTAATTGTAAATTCAATGGTTACACTTTAGCACTCAAGTTCTTTGACCTCTTAGCAGTCTAGAGTACCACTGACCACTCTCCTTTCATTGAAACATTCACTTCTTTAAGTCTTAATAGCATATTTTCCTGTTTCTTCTTCAACCTCTAGTTGCTCCTTTTTGGTCTTGTAGGTTTCTCATCCCGTTTCATATCCACCTCTTCAGGTGCCATCTACATGCTATGTGTATGTGTCTCTGTGTGCGTGCGCGTGTGCATGTACATGCTCAGTCATGTCTGACTTTGCAACCCCATGGACCAGCCTGCCAGACTGTGTGTGTGTGTGTACACACTCAGTCATGTCTGACTTTGCAACCCCAAGGACCAGCCTGCCAGGCTCCTCTGTCCATGGGATTTCTCAGGCAAGAACACTGGAGTGGGTTGCCATTTCCGGCTCCAGGGAATCTTCCAGACCCAGGGGTTGAACCTGCATCTCCTTTGGGTCCTGCACTGGCAAGTAGATTCTTTACTGCTGAGCCACCTGGGAAGCCCATCTTCATGCTAATATCGCCCAAATCTTTGTCTCCAAGTCAGATCTCTCTCCTGAAATCCAGCAGCCTACTCCACATTTCCACTTTATTGTCACTTAAATGTGTCCAGAGTGGAACTCACCACCCTTCAGCCTTGTCCGTCTAAATAAAAGGAACCACCATCTACCCAAGCCAGAACCCTGGTCATCTTTGACCTTCCTCACTTTCCACACCCAAGTCTCACCAATTCTTTATTCGAAAGATTTAAGGAATTTGATCACTTTTTCTTTTTTGCCTGCCCCAATTCTAGTCTAAGCCATCACCACTTGAGATGGGCTAGGCAGTTGGTTGCCTCTCTTCACATCACCACTTGCTCTTCACAAAGCATCCAAGATGACATTTAACAAGTGGACAATCTCATCGTACCATTACATGGCTCTAAACCCTTGCCCTTGCAATAAAAACATTATTATAGCCTAAATACTCTTGCATGATCTGACTGACCCTTGCAGACCTTTCCAGTCTTAACTTCTGTCATTCTACACTTGTGCTTAGAGCTTTAGCCCACAGAAGCCCAGCGGTTTTCTCTCCTCTAGCCATATGGAGCTCCGGACAGTTGCTGGCGCACTCTGCTCCCGTGTCTTGCCCTCTAGCTTTTGCCTATGAGGTTCACTGAGGTTAGAAAAGTTCTCTGCAGTCTCTGCCTGTGAAATTCTTACTCAGTCAAGATTCAGCTCAAACAGCAGCTTCCGGTGTGGAGACCCTCTGCCCCGCTGACAGGCTGTGCTAACCCTCATCACACTGAATAGGAAAGTTAGCCGCCCGCACCAGAAATAAGCACCCCACATCGCGGAGAGGAAAATGTCTTTGCCCTTCCTCTCGCCCCCCAGCCACCCCAGCTCACCCCTGGTTGAGGTCGTTCTCCGTGTTGTCCAGCCACAGGCGGACCGCAACCGCGTTGCCCTCCCGGCACTGAGTGAAAATGTCGTCCATAGCAGCGTCCCGGCACAGAGTCCCCTAGATTGGGAAAGTGTGGGAACTGTAGAAGGATCTAGGGGGGTGGGTGAGCCCCAGGCTTTGTTCCCTACAGGAGAGAAGTGTGGTGTTGGGCTGGGGGACTGGGCGTCTGGGCTCTGCGTCCCCAGCTACTGGATGTCTGAAAGGAGTTAGGAAGGCAGCGGGATGATCCTGGACCGTGTCCCTTGAGCGCGAGGAAAGGCGGATCGGGCGAAGTAGGCGTTGATTAGGAGGTAGCGTCTCCCGAAGGGATGTCACGAGAGCAAAAGAGCCTGGAGGAGGCGATCGGAAGTCCTAACTGGGGATGGCCCTCGTTCCCCACTCGGAACCGAGTAGGTGGAGTGAGGGGTGACCGCCTGGTAGAGGTCGAGCCTTGGGGAGGGGGCACGGGTGCCCCCACACTCACCGGGACTCGGGCTAGAGGAGCCTTCTCCGGGGAACTCCCGTCCGGCCGCGCCCGCCGCTCGGCCCCGCCCCTGGCCCTCTCAGGCCAGCGCGGGCCTCCTTCTCCCAGCCCCTCCCTCCCGCCTTCCTTGCCCTTCTAGCCCACCAGTGTCTAAACTCGATGGTCTTCGGCACTGCGCCGGCTGCTCTAGCCACTTCAGCTCTCACTCTTTGGTATCCTGCCTTGTTCCGGCGTCTCTAAGCGGTCTGATTCCTAGAGACGCGGTCTGCACGTGGAGAAGAGCGTGGATCCCGCAACCTTGCGCTCCACAGCCCCATGTTCGAGGAGCCGGAGTGGGCCGAGGAGGCCCCTGTAGTCGCGGACTTCGGGTCTGTAGCCTTAGGGCTTCGGCCCACGGCAGCCTCTCAAATCAAGGTGAGTGGCCCCGCAGAACAGACTCAGAACAGACTCTGCTGGATTCCGGAGCTGGGGCTCGCCGCGTGTGTAATTAGGGGGAGGGGGGCCGCCTGAAGCCTCCCCAAATCCGGAACTTCCAAAAGAAAGTGACGTTGGAACTGAGAGAGAATTGGTGAGTAGAAATTAGTGAAGGTTTCTTGGAAGGAAAGGCATGTGGAGAGACCCGAGCGCAAGGGAGCATGACACAGAATGAGAGGCCGTGTGGTAGAAATTGGAGGCCTACGTTAGAATATTTGCACATGTTAAAGATAGAAGCCAATGGAGTGTTTTAGCAGGGGAACGATTTCTTTAGATTTGCGTTTTGAAAGGGTCACTGGTTGCCCTGTGGAGATTGGAAAGAGCAAGAGTGAATGACAATGAGGGCTGTCAGTAGTACTACTGTTCAAAGGGAGCTGGTGCTGAGGGAGTACCGAGAATCTCCAGGATGAGTAACCCGTCCAGTAGGACTTCAGTCCAGAAGGGCCTCCCAGACAGCAGACCTCCTTTAAGCCTCTGCCGATGTGAGGGTTGCTGTACTTGCTCAGGCTCTTTCTGTCCTTCAGTCAGCCTGTGACATGAAATCTGTCTGCTTTATTCCCTCCTCTTCAACCCCTCGACCCATTGCTGTAATCCCCACCCCTGGCCTATGTCTGCAGCTTGTCCCCTTCAGTGTTGGTTTTTTTTTTTCTTTCAGTTCTTTACACTACAACTAGAGGCATCTTTAATATACCCATGTGTGATCATGTCACTTTTATTTTCAAAACTCTTCCTACTTTTTATAAAAAGGTATTAGCTAGAGGTAGAAACCTGAAATTGAGGGTTGGAACGCCTGGTCACTAGCCTCGGTCCTGTAGCTTGTGGCCCTACAGTGTTTTTCTGGGAACCCCATCACCTCATCTATACAATGAAGAAAGTGAGGTGGGTGGTTTCTCTGCTCTCCAGCCTCCCAAAGTTTGGGATGGCAATTTTGAAAGTTCTTCAGGCCCTGGCAGTCTTCGTGATAAGCTAGGTAAGTTGACTGGGAATAATCCAGAAGCCTCTAACCAGCATCTGAATGAGGTCCCCGTCTCTCTTCTTACTCCCTAGGCCCCATCCATTCTCCTCGCCCCTGCTTTCATCCCTTGTTTTTCTCCAGGGCTCCAGCCGCCGCCAGCTCTTGGCCACATTACGGGCCCTGGAGGTAGCATCTGTTCCCCAGCAGCCCCCTAGCCTGCCTGGCAGTGACTCTGAGGAGGAGGAGGAGGAGGTAGTGGAAACAAAGAAGAAACGCCTGAAAAGGGGCTTGTTTGCTGGTGCGTCTAGTGAAGTAGAGGAGAAAAGGAAGAAGAAACGTCACAAACAGGGCCCACCTAGCGGTGACTCCAAGGAAGAGGAAGTGGAAAGGAAGAAGTGCCACAAAGGGGCTCTTCTTGGCAGTGCCTTGGCTGAAGAAGAGAAAAAAAAGAGGAAATGCCAGAAACAGATCCCTTCAAATCTTGCCCAGCCCCTGGACAATCTTGACCAAACAGGTAGTATATGTGGGACGTATATGAGGGCTGGGGGTGTGGGGATCAGCTGATCCTACATATAACAGAGTTCCTCCGCCACCAGTAGGTTTGGGGTTATGGAATAAGAAGTACTTTCACATAGGCCACAGTTTCTGTCTTAGGGACAGGGGTATGGCCAGGATGACGTGCTAAACCTCTGAATTCAGGTCTTCTTGCTCCCCAGTATACCTTTCCATCTCTCTTTCTTCAGATTCTAAAGTTTGGAATTCTCGTGTTACAAGTGACCCCACCAAGCCAACCTGTGAGATCCCTTCCTCTAATCCTGCCCATACCTTGAGTCGCAAGCAATGGCGAAACCGGCAGAAGAACAAGCGTAGACAGAAGAACAAGTTTCGGCCATCTCAGCCACCAGAGCAGGCCCCATCCCCAGCCCCAGCCTCTGCAGAGGAGGCAGAGGTGCCTTCTGCCCCCAGTCCAGACAGCCATGGAACCCGGGCAGAGGCTCTTCGAGCCCGAATGGCCCAGCGTCTGGATGGTGCCCGGTTCCGCTACCTCAATGAACAGCTGTACTCAGGGCCCAGCAGTGCTGCGCAGCGCCTCTTCCAGGAAGACCCTGAGGCCTTTCTCCTCTACCACCGTGGCTTCCAAAACCAAGTCAAGAAGTGGCCACTGCAGCCGGTAGACCGCATCGCCAGGGATCTTCGCCAGCGGTTAGTGAAAATTGGGCACTGTGAGAAGCTAGACGTGTCAGTCCCAGGCTCAGACCAGACCAGTGAGCTCCTCCTCCCTTCCATTCCCAGGCCTGCATCCCTGGTGGTGGCTGACTTTGGCTGTGGGGACTGCCGCCTGGCTTCAAGCATCCGGAATCCTGTACACTGCTTTGACTTGGCCTCTCTGGACCCCCGGGTCACTGTGTGTGACATGGCCCAGGTAAGCCCCTCTCTCCTTCCATGTAAACACACTCTGCCCACCCTGCATCCTTGTGTCTACCCCTAGTGTTCAGTACTGGCTTTCTCCTTCCCATAATGTGTGCTTTGTACAACAGTCTCACTCTCCACAGGTGCCTCTGGAGGATGAATCTGTAGATGTGGCTGTGTTCTGCCTTTCACTGATGGGAACCAACATCAGAGACTTCCTGGAGGAGGCAAATCGAGTGCTGAAGCCAGGGTGGGTGCTCCCAAGATACCGATGCATGACTGTGTGCACATGCGCGTGTCGGTGTACTCACCCAGAACTTTCCATCCTTCTCAGGGGTCTCCTGAAAGTGGCTGAGGTCAGCAGCCGCTTTGAAGATGTTCGGACTTTTCTGGGGGCTGTCACCAAGCTGGGCTTCAAGGTCATCTCCAAGGTGAGGGCCCCAGGAAGTCTGTCCTCTTTTTGTCACATGTGTGGCCCTTCAGGCTTATAACGGTGTTTAGGAAGGAGGTCATTGTCAGACATATATATTTGCTCCTTGAAGGCTTGAGTAGTGAGAGAGAGCCGGGAAGCTTTCTGAGCAGGGGTGGGGCCTGGACGGTGGTGATTTGAAGAGCTGGGGTGAGGACTTATAGCTCACTGGGTCTTTTCTGTCCTTAGGATCTGACCAACAGCCACTTCTTCTTGTTTGACTTTGAAAAGACTGGGCCCCCTCGGGTAGGGCCCAAGACTCAGCTCTCAGGCCTGAAGCTTCAGCCTTGTCTCTATAAGCGCAGGTGACCTTTGGAGCCCCCTTGAATGGGGAGGCAAATCTTGAACTCCAGACTCAGTACTCTGAAGACTGTATCCAGCCAGGCTGTGACCCGGGGCCTGATACCACCCTTACTCCATCTCAAGAACAAAATATAATGAAACTCTTGGCTCAACCCTGCTGTGATGAAGGCTTCTTGGTTCTAGGAAGCATAAAGTCGTTTGGGCTAGCTAAAGAGTAAGGAGTTCATTGTGAGAACACAGGAGTATGTGGGAATTATGGATCCCCTCAGTGTCATGAAAACTACATGGTTTGGAATTCAAGGCATCTCTTAGTTTGGTGTCTGTTTCCATCTCTCAGAAGCCATATGAGCTTTCTGTCCTAGCATCTCCACTCTCTGTTCTGATTTTCCTATCTGCACACCAGATCCCTCTGCTCACCCAAAGCTTCTACAGCTTTGGTCTGCCCAGGCCTTGAAGGCCACAGGCAGGCATTGCTTCTTGGCTCTAGGGCAGCTCGGCTCTAGAGCAAGTGCAGCAGCCCTCACATCAGCGGAGGCAACTTGGCTCTAGTCCATCAACATCATCTGGACTTCTTGGTCAAGATGGTTTGATTGTCCCTATGCTGAGTACTTCTTCCCCGTGATTGTCATCTCTGTCTTTGGAGCTGAATGGCCCTGACCCTCCTGGCGTCTATTGTTCTGTTGGGTCCTGGTGTTTGTCTGGCTGAGAGCGCAGATATTGGAATCAGGTAGGCCTGCTGTTGGACTGTCGAGAGCCTTTTACTCTTTGAATGTTCAGCTACTCATTTGGTAAATGATAGAATAACTGTCTCATAGAATTGTTGTATGGGTTAATGAGGAAATCTGTAGCCAAGGCAGGGCACATAGGAGGTGCTCAGTAACTGTTGCTGTGGCTGTTGTGTGTTGCAAGCCTTACTGTTTCTAAAGACCTACCCTAAGCAGGATTAGGGGTTGAAGAGTAAAGGATGAATTTGTTGATTGAGGAAGACTCTGGGAGAGCTCAAGATAGGCCTTTCAACAGCCTTATTTTATGAGATTTTTAGAGATTCTAAATAGACTGTGAGCAGTTTTTTGAGTTGGGGTGATGTGGGAGCTGGGTCTTCATAAATCACAACTGATTGATGCCATTTGGGGTGGGGATTGGCAGAAAAGTGTGTCTGTTGTTTCTGCCTTGCAGTGGGCCCAGGTCAGCACATCCTAGGCCAAACTATGGGCAGAGAAGACTAGTTCTGGGAGAAGATGACTGGGATGACAAGTCCTTGGCCTAAAAGGCATCTGCCATGGGCCCAGGTATAAAGATACAGTCTGTTCTACCTGTTTCTAAGGGCTCCCCTGGTGGCTCAGACAGTAAAGACTTATTTCCAAGAGCAAGAACTGAGGGGAACCACTGGCACACAGGATCCAAGACTCTGCACCGGTTGAGTGCCTCCAGTAAGGGGGTGTTTTGAGGCAGGTTGTGCAGGCCAGAGGGCGTGTTTGGAAGCTAGGCTGCAAACCATCCAGCAGACACTGTTCAGTACCTTTTCACGTGCTTCTCGTTGCGGAATACTCATCTGACTGGCAGAGTCTTACTCATCCTTCCAGACAGCCTAGTTGTTTCCTACTCCATTGCTCCCAAAGCAGAACTAATTTCTTCATCTGCATTGTCAAAGCACTGCAGGAAGAGGTCAACTGCAACGTTTAAATACTGTGTGGGGTTGTTCTGTGCATTAGGCTGCAGTCTTCTCAGCTCATATTTATCTTTGTATTTCCAGAGCTGGTCACTTGAGATCCATCCAAGGAGGTGATAAAGATGACAGGGTTCGTGGACCAGTGAGAAGCAGGGGTATTGCAGGAACCCAGGTTTGGCCACATGATGAGGTCACTAGTGACGGTGCAAGGAGTGGGCAGGCGGAAGAACTTCAGTTGGTAGAACTGGTGGGACATTGAGGCTTGGTGAGAAAAAGGAATCTGAAGCAGATCTTGGGTTTCTGGCTTAAGCAACTGCGCTGTTGATGCCATTCAAAATGTTGGGATTTTGGTACCTAGATGTTCATTTGGAAACGGGACATAAACTCAGTAGCCAGGGGAGGTCATTCAAGTCATCGTAATAGATAAGATATCCAGAATAAGATAACGAGAAGAGAAAATGGCTTGGAAGAGAACTCTTGAGGAGCATTTAATGGATAAGTAAAGGAAAATGAACCAGTAAAGCTGACAAGAGAAGGTGGAGCCAGAGATGGAGTAAAACCAGGAGAGTGGATTTCTTCATGTGGAAGGAATGGGAAGGTTTTAGTGCTGTTGGATGCTCTTGAAAGATCTGTTAAAATGAGCGAAAGGTCAGATTGTGGCAGGGAGAGGATTTCTGCGTAATGTTGAGGGGTTTAAATTTATAGTGGTATTATTCATGAATATATAGTTATACCAGTCAGCCCAATGGTGTGGTTATCTCTGCCTGCACAGGAATCTAGGTGTAACTGTAGGAAAAATGAGTACTAAGGGATCATCCAGAGTTGAAACCTTACCACACAATTTAAATGAAATCAAGCAAAGGCGTTTCAGACCATTCACAAGTTAGTGATGTCTATGCTGGGCCATGAACTTTGTAGAACAACTGAGTGGCGTGAAGACAGGAGTAGGTAGTTGCACTGGGGCTAATTTTAAAAGTAACCTAGAAAGATGGGAGGCTGTGGTCAGAAACTGGGATGTCTGAATAGTTCATACTGGAAGTAAAGCAGCCCCAGGCAGTGGCCAAGTTTAAGAGTGTAGTTATAGGAGTGAGTGCCTGAGAGGAGTGCACAGGAGGTTGCCTGGAGGTTGATTATTGCATGGGGGGCTCAGATATTGGGAGTGGGTCTGCATGGACTTTGAAGTTCTCCAAGATGATAATAGAAGTTAGCATGGAACAGTGCCAGTGTCTTGAAGAAGGGGGCAGATTCAGGAAATCTGCAGACAGAGTAGGAGAGGCCCAATAGTGTGAATTCAGGACAGAGGGTCACACAGCCTACTGGAGAGACTTCCATCTGGGGGATGATGTGAGGCTGGTGAGTGGAGCTGGCTGCCAGGCAGCCAAGACAATACCCTAACAGTCGTCTCCAACTTACCGGGATTCTCTGGGGATTATAGGGGAAACGACTGTTGTGGCAGCTTCATGGGATGGGAACCTCTTGGGATCACGGGGAGACAAGCTGTCAAGTCTGAGGACGTCTGCCTCGTTAAGAGAACATACATCACCTTTTATAGCGTCCTAGCTCTGCTTCCTCCCAGCTGTTAGGTATATTCCTAGATCTTGATTCGTTTTTCCTGTTTGTTATCATGCTCAACAGGACAGCTGGGGTCTGCCTTCCTCCCTATTTTGCTTTCCTTCCCTTACTTAAAATTTGGACTTTTTCTTTGCCTGTTCTGGTTCCAGCCACCTGAATAAACATCTTGCTAGGTCTGCCTCAGGCCCATGACTCCCCCTGTCTCAGGCCAGCCTCCACCTGCTTTTCCATCAATTCTGAAAGCAGGGCTTCTGAGTCTGGGTCATCACTGCTCCATTATCAGCTTCAGGACCATCTCTCGTTTAAACCTGGGCTTCAGTGTCTGATGTCTGATATTGAGAGCTTAGACTGAAGAAAGAACAGTGTATGCTCCCTTAAGAAAAAGCAGCATACCAGCTGTTTAAGGAACAATGAGATCACTTTAAGGAACAATTTGAGAATAGGATGAAGGAGTGGCAGTCATAGTAAGAGGTAAATGGGAGTGGGAAAGAGTCTTAACTGGAGACTGCACTGGGAGCATTCAGGAAGCTTGAGGGATTTATTCCTGACCCCAAGAAATGGTACACCTGGAGTCTGACTCCTGCCCTGGAAATGCAGAGGGCAAGCAGAGGCTCACTTTCAGTGGTGGCGCCAGGGGTGTGCTGCTGCTTTTGCATTGGTCTGTGTTCCTCTAATCTGCTGAGGCGAACCATTCAGGCGTGTATCCTGTGCAACTTGTAGCAGGGGAAGCATCGGGTGGTCTGGAGCGCTGTCCAGTAGGACCACTGAAGAGGTAAGGAAGCACAGAGAAGTTAGGAGTGTGCCATCTGGACTAAGGAGGGAATTGTAGGATACCACCCAAAATAAAGCTGCACCCACCAGGGTAAAGGGGACTGCAGAAAAAGGACAGCAAGACGCCCCCTTTAAATCTGTGAGGCCCATGGGACCCAGAAATATCCAACTAGGCAAAAGCTCTCTTATCCCCTTCCTTCTCTGCAGTTGGGCCCAGAGCAGTCAGCAGCTATTAGGTGCAAAGGAGGTGAGAAGAGAGCCTAGAGATCATCCCCCACCCCCTTCTCCAGTGCAGGCTTCTTGACTTTAGCAGGACAGAGCTGAGAGGTGAAAACAGCTAAAGCCAGAAGAGGTGCAGATTATTTATTGTTACGTAGGATTAAATGTTGTAATCACTTGAGATTGGATTTGTCTCTTATACTGATCCTAAGAATATGTGAACTGAGAATGAGCCGTAAGTCACAGGCTTGCCACAGCTTTTCTCTGAATGAAGAAAGGTCGGAGGGGTGGTGGGAGACAAGAATAAAGTTGGGTTTGGATAGCAGTCTGGGCTCATGCTTCCTCAGCATCCGTTTTAGAGGTTGATTACCCCTGCAGTCACTGGTACGCTCCAGCTTTTGTTCTTGTAACACAGTCCTAAGGGAACACAGTTCCCAAAGAAACAACGTGATCTTGGCGGAGACACAGCTCAGCTCCAGTCACTCAACCACTTACATAATTGCACAAAGGCCTTTACAGATTTTCACAGAGACCTCTAACTAGGTTGTCCTCCATTCCCGATGACTTCCCAGGCTGGGAACCTGGTTCAGACTTCTACAGTCACCACATTACCAGTCCAGTTGCTTCCACTCCTGTTGCCAGAGCAATTCATTTGCCGCACCAATTCATTTGCTCACCGCAAAGCCAAGGTGAGCCTTTTTAAAATGTAAGTCAGATATGCCACTTCTCTGCTTAAAACTCTTCAATGGATTCTCACTGCTCTGAGAACAAAAGGCAGACTCCTTTCCAGGGCCTAAGTGATCTTGCCCAGGCCTCCCTCTCCAACTGCATCTTAATCCACTCCTTCCACATGAAAAACTCTAGCCACACAGGCTTTCTTTTCATTCCTCAAGCGTTCCAAGCCGTTTCTACTTCTGGGTCTTTAAAATTGCCACTTCGTCTTCCCAGGGCACTTTTTCCTGATGAGTTCATTTTCATCTTCCAGATCTTCATACTAGCATCCCATTTTCTGTAGGAAAAAAACAGGCTAGATCTCACCAGAATGTCCTTTTCTGAGACACAGTTAAATTACATTTCCCAGCTTCTTGCCTCAAGGTGAGGCTGTGTGCATAGTCCTTCCCAATGGAAAGTAAGTAGAAGTGATGTTTCACTACCAGACAGGGCAGTTAAAGAGTGGGTGAACCTTCTCTTTGGGTGGAGAAGGGTATTCTCCACCCCTTCATCTGCCTTTCGAGGCAGATGTTTGAAGATGGAGTCAGAGAATAGACCTCTGGATGTTTGAGCCCAGGCTTAGAGAAAAATTGCTTGCTTGACCAAGAACATCCACATTGGTTTTGACAAGGACTAACCTCTTTTGCATTCATTTAGTGAGTTTGGGGACTGTTACAGTCGTTAGCATTATATGCCTTGGCTAATATATCTTCTCTGGACATCCTGTCCACCTTAGTCTTGATCACAAAACAAGGAAACCCGTGTTTCCTTCAGGGTGCTTCAGACATTTAATTATTTTACCAGATGCTAGTTTATACTATCACTTGTCCTATAAATTGAACTCCTAATTGGGGAAAAAATGCTCATATGAGGAAATTGAGAGATTGATTTTATCAGTTACATTTTGATTGTAAGCCCCCTCCCCCCAAAAATAAATCCCCCTAAAGAATATCTCAAGTTAGATTTTTCACCTCATAAAATTAGAAACCTGATGGTTGTTGGCATTGGCTCAGGAATTCAAGGATCTTAGCAGTTAGGTCTGTGTGGTTCTCTTGGTCTCTTGATTCTCATGGTCACAAGAGACACCTTGTGATTTGATTAATCGGAAACACCCTACTTAGCCTTCTCGGGAATCTCACAGATTGCCACAGTCCCTGTCTTTTTGGTCTTACTTCAAGGGTCCTTCTGCATTGTTAATACTCTGGTGTAAATATGTTCCATTATTCCCTAGAACATGTCTGAGACCAGTCTGAAATACTAATGTTTTAATTACATTTGTCTTCCCCACCCCTTCCCCCATCTCAGTGACTTGTCAACAGCTCCTCCCATTCAAAGCTGTTCTCTGTCCAGCTCAGTGGGGGTGGGGAAACCTTCACGGGTCTGTTCATTTCAGTCATTCTTTACCTCCTCTGTCACTTCTAGGATTGGGATGGGGAAGGGTATATTAGAGGGAAAAGGGCTAAACTTTTGGTTTAGTTTGGCTTTATCAGTGTGTTCTACTAAGACAGGCATGTAAATGTTGGTTCAGGGTGTGAGGTGTTGGGGTTCTTTGGAGCCACCCCCTGCCCCTTGGGGACTTTTGCACTAACTGGCTCTGGTTCCCTCCTTAAGATACTCAGCCCACACCCCTCAGCTTCTGACCCTGACAGTGTATCCATTGCCTCACCTGGCTGGCAGTCCTCCTGAGAGAGGTCTCAGCAAACGTCTTAAGAGTGGTTACCTTTCTGGGAGCCCCCAGGAGACTTCCGCATGTGTGTCCTGCCGAAGGGCAGAAGTACAGCCCGACTAGCAGCTGACTCCCCTCCCCTCACCCTGCCCCAGCCAGCCTGACTCTGACCTCTCTGTTCTCTCTGTGGTCCCAGACCCTTACAAGTGTCTTGGGTTACTTTCCCCCAACAAGCCCCCACCCCAGTGGCCTTGTTGGAACTGGGGCTATAAGTTTCTGACTGCAGCAAGCCTCCCGCTAGAGAATGTAATGCTGAATAAGGTCTCTCCCTGTCATGGGAATACAAAATGACTACAAGTGGTCCTCTTAGAGCCCTGCTCACCTGATTGAGGATAGAGGGAACAGCACTGCTTCTTTGCCTTTCGGGGTGACGTTTTCTGTATTCCTCCAAATTCCCATCAATGAAGCTGATGTTTCTAACTTCATGTACAGTAGGAGGGTTAGTGAGCTCTGGATCAGCTTTATTATCTAAGAGTAAATCCTGTGTTGGGCTTCCCCAGTGGCTGTTCATTAAAGGATCCACCTGCAATGCGGGAGATGTGGCAGGAGCTGCGTGTTTGATTCCTGGGTCAGACATATATATATATATATATATATATACATATATATATATATATGTATATATATAGGGCCTTTATTTAATATCTTCTTATTTTGCAAGTATTTTTAAAAAATTTTAATATCCATCCATGTATCTATCAGGGCTCAGTCAGGAAAATAGAAACCATACTAAATGTTTCAAATAGAGGACATTTAATGTAGAGAATTGATTCCTAGTGACAAAAGCCAAGTCAAAAGAAAATGCTTGATGTAATTAAAAATTGAAAACTGGAGAAATCAGATAATGTGCAAAGGCCTGGGAAAACCAAGCAGAAGAAACGATGTGATTATCAGAAACCAGGAGCTCAGAGAAGTGGCCCCTTTTGACTGATCAGTACTCAGACTTTTGTGGGGGAGGCTCCCTCCACATAACCTGGTGCTTGGACTTCTGAGGAAGGACATGGCCTTGAGGGTGGGGGCACACGGTCTGACTCTTCTCTGGCCATCACGCCGGAAACTGATCTGCTGCTATCTCAGAAGTGTAGCAAAGCTGCTGCGGAGTGCAGAAGAAGCCGGTAGGTAGCCAGAGCCAACTGTCTGCAGCTGAAGTACTGTAACAGCAGCTGGAAAACAGGAATGAAGACCCTCCCCCCTGTGTTTCACTTTCAGTTTCCCTTTATGGCATCTCTTTGGCAGAACCTAATGGAACCACCTGGCAGTGGATTCTGGGAAATACAGTTTGCAGAGTCACAGCTGCAGCAACACAACTCCAGAGTGTGTGTGTGGGGGGTGCAGAGAGAGATACAGAGAGTGCAGGAGGCAAAAGAAAATAGATAAGTAACCAGAGCATTCCATGCACTAATAGCTGCTCGCTCATACATCTAGATTGTTGTTTCTGTCAGTTCTGAAGTATCTCCTAATGAGCATGCACCATAGTAAGCTTATCCATTCTCCCGGTTGCCTCAAATTCTTTGCCGTCTCGATAAATTAAAACCCTTGCAGTTTAGGGTTCTGAGTACAAAATAAGTTCCCCCAATTATATGCACTCAGAGATTTGGGAGGTAAGTATCATGTTCCTGCTGCTTGGCTATTGCCAGAGGCAGGTTTGGATGTTGGCTTTCTGCAGCAGCATTTGCATCGAAGCCAAGGACAAAAGGATGCGTACTATAGTGGCTAAAGTTCAACATAGTACTGGAGGTTCAATAGGTGAAATAAATCTACTTTGTACAAGTTTGGCTTTGATGGTTAAGAGGAAAAATTATTGGAAGGATATCAATAAGTTACTCAGAGAACTAATGGAAAGTCCAGGGAGTGAGGCTTAAAACAGACAGGAGCCAGGGGAGGATGAACAGCTGCAAAAACTAAGGTCAACTTTAGAGTCATCATGGTTAGGATGGCATTGCTGGCACCATTGCTACTTGACTTTTTTCCTCACTCTTGTCGGTACATAGAGTGATGCTGAGAATTGAGTTTATCCTCTAAGTTCATAGCACTGTTAGGATTGGTTCATGAAAGGCCCCTCTCCTGTTCTTTGTTATTTTGTTTCCTTTATTCCTGATTCATACTTCAGTTCCTCTTAATAGCCTCACAACATATTTGTTGTGTTCCCCTGGACACCTGTGTATCCTTGGCAAAATAGATGGTGGTTTTGGTATATGTGTGTTTTGGCAGAGACTGCCAGCTGATCCTCACAGCCATTTTCTTCTTTGTGGGAAATCAGCTGGACTCTTTCCTAGCTTCCCTTATTCTTAAGTGTGATCAAGTGGATGATAGAACTAAGGTGTGCTACTCCTACGACCTGGGTCCTTAAATTTTCTTATGCACGGTCCCGCATGGTATTTCCAATTTGGCCTTTGAGCATACAACCTTGAAAGAGCCAGAAGATGGAAGGAGCCTGAACATCACTTAGAGGAAAGCCACCCACCAATTTGGAGGATCTGTTTTTGGATGTCTCGTGAGTGAGAAATAAATTTCTATCTTTTTCAGCCAGTGACTAGTGATCTTTCTTTAAAATCCCTTTTAATTGAACACATCAGCAAAGTAAACAAGACAGGACCATAAAGAAAAGTAAACAAAAATGTTAAGCCTAATGTTTTATCACAAGGCCAGTGTCCAGGTAGGCACCACCTAGACTGAGAAACCAAGTGCTGACCACACCCAACAGCCTCTTTTATGTCGCCTCCCAAACATGAGCAGCTTTCTTCTCTCAGCATTACAGAATTGTCACCATCCCGGCTTCCATGACATTGATTTCCTTGCTTTTCTTTATAGTCTTACTAGTTGAGCTGTTTAGTTGCTCAGTCATGTCCAACTCTTTGCATCCCCATGGACTGCGCACCAGGCTCCTC